CATCGGGTTTGTCGGAGCACGATTTCACTTCATCCCTGACGTGATTACGCCAATGACGATAAGCTTCTGGGGCAGGCATGTCGTTCAGTTTGATAGTCTCTGCCTCTTTTGTTCGGGGCTTTTCACCATCTGAATCCTTTGAAGTCAGTCTAGTGATGAGATCTAGCAATTGTTGACCTGAAAGACCTAAGCCTGCTTCAGCTGCTTTCTTGCCAGGGTCGCTTGCTATGACTGTAGGACTGGGCACACTATGCTCTTGGTTTGCATCGTCATCATTTTGTCTTTGAACTGGCAATGGTGGAAGTTTTGGAGGGGCTGCTGATCCGGCAGGGGTAGTTGAGAACAAGTTGCTCAATCTTTCTTTAGCGTCCATGGCTAAGCTACTCATACCGGTGTTTGGCATGGGTTCTGCTCCAGCCTTGGTACCGACCGCTGATTTTGGGGTCATGTACAAATCGACATTGTTCCCGCCTTGTGCATCATCAACTTCGACGGCTCTGTCGACACTGATTTCCGGGGCGCTGTACTTGTTGAGCTTCTCCATCAAATCCTCGACTTGTCCCTGCAATTGGAAATTGAGTTCAGCAGCTTGGTTTTCCTGCCTACTGCATTCCTCTCTAATCTCCTGGATTACAGCTTGTTCCTCTTTCTTGAAACCTTCCATGCCGTTCTTTGCATACTCCACTGTTTCGTCCACGATTCGTTTACAGTCTGCCTCGAGGCTACCTCTGAGTTCAGAAAACCTTTGTTCGTACTGGGCTGTTATATGTGCTACCTTTTGGTTGGCTCTTTGTTCAGCTTCCAGTGCAACTGCATTTGCAGCATTCTTTAGCTTTGCGTTTGCATCGCTAAGTTCCTGTCTCAGTTTTGCTACCTCATGCTCAGCTGCCGTTTGGGACACTGAATACTCTGACACTAGGTGTTCATGTCTGCGATCCGCTTCTGCACGTTGATGGGCAATTTCGCTAAGGCAAACTCCCTCAAACTCTTGGTACAGTTGCTGGACCTTTTGCTCCATGAGATGTGTGTGCCTCTCCTCCGCCTCTTGCCTGAAAGCATCAATGTTACCTTCGTTGATGTAGGTAAGATTGTTTTGCACAAACTGGAAATATGCTTGCACGGGCTGCGTGAAGAAACCTTCATCCACTGACATGGGCGTGGGGTTTGTCCCAGCCGGCAAGCTTTGTTGTGAACCAGTTGTTGCAACCGCTGCTCCAGACGAGGGGACAAGGGCGCCTCCACCTGAGGTGTCTCCAGTTGTCCTTTCCATGGCTTTAAGAGACTACGGCTGATAACCTGTATTTTCAGGTTTCAGCAGGGGTAATGCCTATTATCCCCAGATAGACTGATAAACCTAAAGTGGGAAAGAAAACCGTTAAGCACCGCGGCCCAAACCCTTTTTAGACTGAGCCGCACAGCTGTAGTGAATGCTACTATCATACATGGGTTTAATGGTGGAGTGCAAATACAATTCAAATGTCATTTCCTTCCCCTTCAACAAAACAATACGTTGAACAAATTAAGACAATTCATCTTGAGTCATTTTTGAAAGTTACGACCCCCCGACCCTACACAGCAGTACGTTAAACATGTAAAGAAAATTGGCATATTGAGTCATTTTGTAGATTTCGCCACCGTCCTGTTGAAAGCACTACGTTCAACATATGAACCAACGTGGCATCCTGAGTCATGTTCAAAAAGTATTCTTTATTCCTCAAAAATCAATACGTTGAATATACGTATGAACAAAGTTGAAATGTTGATTTGTCTTGAAAAAATCACCCCCTCCCTTTCCAATTCATACATTGAACACATGAAGAAAAATTGCATCTTGAGTCATTTTGCAATTTACAACCCCTCGACTGACCCTACAAAATAAAACCTTTTGCATACCGAGAAAGCTTACATGTCGCGTCAGTTTTGAAATTTACCCTTCTCAACGCTACAAAGATTATAGTCGAACATTTTGGAATTTTACCAACACCTTGACCCTACAAATCAATACATTCAACATATGGACCAAGTTGACATGTTGATTCATTCTATTGGATTTACCTGCCCTGTCCCCTACAAAACATTTTGCTTAACGTATGAATCAGCATGGCATCTTGACTTATGTTAAAATGTTCATTGCCTTCCCCTACAACAAAACCATACATTGAACACATGAAAAAAAGGAATCTTGAGTCATTTTTGAAATTTACAACCCATCGACCCTACAAAACAACACGTTGAACATATGGAGAGATTTCGCATGTCGAGTGATGCTTGGGATTTCCGTCCCTTCGACCCTGCCGGACAAATGGTTTAAGGTATGAAGAAAGTTGCCATGCGGAGTCATTTTTGAAATTTACATCTCCTCGACCCTACCTAGCTAGCACCCCCTTCAACAAATGAACAAACTTGGCATGTTGAGTCATTGTTAAAGATCTACTCCCCTGTGCCCTACAAAAATATACGTTCAAAGTCGTTCAACAAACAAACCTGTTTGGCATCTTGAGACGTGTTTAACATGTTCTTTTCCATGCAAGTCAGAACCTTGAAGATAGGAACACAGTTGAAACGTTAAGTCATCTTTTGTCATCCGCCCTCCCCCACAAAAACAATATCTTGAACACATGGGGGCAATTCTCAGCTTGAGTCATTTCTTAATTTACCATTTTTTCAATTTATTCCCTTTTTCGGTCCTACAAAGCAATATGTTCAACGTTGGAAGAAAGTTGACACGTGGAATCGTTGTTGCGAATTTACCCTCCTCGACCCTACAAAACAATACGTTCATTGTATGCGGAAAGTTACCACGTGGTGTCATTTTGAAAATTTACCCCCCCCCTCGAACCTTCAAAACCATACGGTTGATTCAACATATGAAGAAAGTTGACATGTTGAGTCATTGCTATAGATTTACCTTCCGGCCCCCTACAAAACACTTTGTTCGACATATGAACCGACTTGGCATCCTGAGTCATGTTTGAAATGTCTTTACCTTCCCCTACAACAAAGCAAGACGTTGAACGAACAAAATTGGAACTTCGAGTCATGTTTGGAATCTACGCCCACTGGACCATACACAGCAATACATTCAACATATGGATCAAGTTGACATGTTGATTCATTCTTTTGGATTTACCTGCCCTGTCCCCTACGAAACGCTATGTTTAGTGTATGAACCAGCATGGCATCTTTACTTATGTCAAAATGTTCCTTGCCTTCCCCTGCAACAAGACAATACGTTGAACACATGGAAAGAAAGGCATCTTGAGTCATTTTTGAAATTTACAGTCCCTCGACCCTACAAAGCAATACGTTAAAAAAACGGTGAAAGTTGACACGTCGAGTTTTTTTTACGGTGAAAGTTGACACGTCGAGTTATTCTTAAAATTTAGCCCCCCTCGACCCTACAAAGCAAACGGTTGAACAAGTGCAGAAAATTGACATGTGGGGTTATTTTTGCAATTTATAACCTCTCGGCGACTCCACAAAATACAAAGCAGTACCTGTAATATATGAACAAAGTTGACATGTTGAGTCGTTGTTTTGAAGTTTGAATGTACTCCCTCCATCTCCCCCCATCCCTTTTAAAACGCTACGCTCAACATATCAACCAATTTGGAATCTTGAGTCATTGTTATGTTTTTTCCCCGCTGTCCCCAACCAAAACACTACGTTCAACATATAAAACAGCTTGGCATCATGAACCATGTTTAAGGTGTCTTTTCCTTCCCCTGGAAATTATTACGTTGAATATATGAACAAAATGAAATGTAATCATTCTTATATTCGTTAATTCCTTCTCCTACAGCAAGCCAATATGTTGAACATGTGAAGAACATTGGCATCTTGAGCCATTTTTGAAACTTATCTCCCTCGACCTTACAAAGCAATAGGTTTAGCATATGAGTCATTGTTATAGATTTAACATGGTTTAACCCCTTCACAAAGCAATACGCTCAACAGAATATGTGGGGTAAATTGTTGAAATTTCCCGCCTATCCACCCTACAAACCAATACGTTCAACACACGAACAAAGGTCAGAGACAGGGCGTCAAAACGGACAAAGATCTCCTGTGGCAGTCGGTCAGGGGTCGTCAGGGGTCGTCAGGGGTCGTCAGGGGTCGTCAGGGGTCGTCAGGGGTCGTCAGGGGTCGTCAGGGGTCGTCAGGGGTCGTCAGGAGTCGTCAGCGTTCGAGGTCGTCAGAGTCGTCAGGAGTCGTCAGGAGTCGTCAGGGGTCGGTCAGGGGTCGTCAGGGGTCGTCAGGGGTCGTCAGGGGTCGTCAGGGGTCGTCAGGGGTCGTCAGGGGTCGTCAGGGGTCGTCAGGGGTCGTCAGGAGTCGTCAGCGTTCGAGGTCGTCAGAGTCGTCAGGAGTCGTCAGGAGTCGTCAGGAGTCGTCAGCTAAAATTGGACAACTGTTGTTGCCATCTCTGAGCTTTTGAGAGTCACCCTGGAGGCGTATCATCCCACATTGGTGACTCCTGGGTAAGCTGGGAGCTTTTCATGGGAAAAAGATGGAAAAAGGCCCCCCCAACTGATGTTTGTGGGTTTATAACCCGATCGAAATATAGTTTTCTAAGATGTTGTAAGTATTACACACTATTGTTATTATAGTTTGAAACCAACTTATAGTAAATAACTATGGGGCCCCATCCTGTGGGAAAATCATCAATGGCGGATTTTCCACGGCTACCTTTGAGTACCGGAGGGTATAAATGGCATGGAACTTGTAACCCCACTTGGCCACTGGCCAGTTACTTTCTTCTCAGGGTGACCCTGCAAGTAACTTATATATAAGTTGTTTACAACCCCCATGACTATGAATTCTATATAGTAACCCGTAACACCCCCAAGAAAAAGAACAAAGCCAAATTCCCACCCAAAATCTCCAAAATAGTTTGGTCCATCACTTGAAAAAATCACGACTCTTTGTCATTTTGGGCCACACAAAAAAGGCCACCAACTTCACCAGCCCACAATCTCCACAGACTCACCGCCCTGTTTTTTTTTCGACTCACCGCGGACTCACCTTCCCTTCGACGGCCTCTTTGGTGCCTTCCAGAACGGTGAACTGAATGGCACCAGCCACGATGCCACGCGCCAGGCGCCAACCAAAACCTGCGGACTCCAGTTCGATGGTTGGCGCTTAATGTTGATATGTTGATCTAAGGTGATAGGCAGGTTAAGTTATGATAACCCGTAGGATCCATGTATGGTATATATGCTAACATTTGGGGTATATTGATGGTAAATGTTCCCATATATGGTATACATGGATCCTATGGGTAAGATGATGATGTGATATATTTATATAGGAGAAATCATATGAAATCTCATCTTTCTGTCGGTACCCATCATGCTGATCTAATAAAAGTGGGATGACTAATCGCACTAATTAATATGTATCGTGCACTAATGCTGAAACCCAAACTCGTGACATTCGCTACCAAATGATGCTGGATTGAAATTGATCTATGAGGATCTATAAGGGACATTAATGGCTATTAACCCAAATTGATCAAATTGATCATTGAGATCCAGGCTGGACATCCGAAAAAACTTCTAGTACCCTCTGGTAATTTAACATAGCTATTGAACATGGCAATTTATAGTGGAATTTCCCATTGAAAATTGTGATTTTCTATAGTTATGTTAGTTTACCAGAGGGTACTTCTATTGGCTGTACATCGATTTACATCTATTTACATCAATGATCCATTTACCCATTGACATCAACTAAACATCCCAATAGCTCATCCATCTGGGTAAATTATAATAGTTCACTAATCTGAATGGTTCGGTCATTTGGGGATGATTTCCCGAATCTTCAACATGAAGCCAGGCGACTCGGAAAAAAAACAGGCAAAAAGGTCGTTTGTGATGAAATTTACTCAGAACCAATAAAAATCATCATCTATCTGGGTAAATTATAATATTTCACTAACCTGAAATAACCGGATACTATGTGGGATTATTCCTTTATATGGGATTATAATGGTGATATATTATGGTGATACTATGTGGGATTATAATGGTGATATATTATAATATTTCCCAATTGGGATTATTCCTCTTACTAACCATGATCTATCCAGATCTATCGACATCCAGATGTCCAACCTGACCAGATCTTTTCAGAGTCGCCCGTGTCGATCAAGTCCTATAGGGCGCGCAAAGGGCCGGTGGTTTTTTAACCGGTGGCCGTAGCCTAGCCGGGTAGCCGTTTAGTCTATAGGTGGTGTAGCTGGATGGTGATTCCTGGGAATATGGTAAGTTCATAGGTAACTTGACCCATGTCTATCTTGACTATCTTGGATCTTGCTGTCGATTGATGGGTTGATACTACGGGATGATGTACTGGAGCAGTGAGAATAGGATATTCCATCAGGATACTCCGGGAATAACAAGGGTTATTTACCACTTGTCTCCGACATGGTTGATCCGGTGGATGGTTTTTGGATGGATTTCTCTATGATTTCACAACCTTTTGGGACAGCTTAATAATGATAACCTTTAAAGGTAAATTCTTGGTGAAACCTCCTGAACAATGGATGCTTAATGATGATTATGCAATGGACGATTATTGACTACATGACTGGTTGGTGGTTGAGCCACCCCTCTGAAAAATATGAGTTCGTCAGTTGGGATGATGACATTCCCAACTGAATGGAAAAAAAAAAGCCATGTTCCAAACCACCAACCAGAGAAATATATGTTTGTATACGGATATTGTGGAATGAACATTGGGATTCCACCGAGAAAGGGAAATATAAGCAGCAAACAGTGTGAAACATGAGGGGTTTGACACGCCATGTAATCATGTAATCACCGGTGACACGCCGACTTCTATTCTCGATACTGTTCCGAAGATTCCCAGGATGTCCCACTGAAAACAGAAAAAACCTCTCCATCTGCCAAATATGGGCACTAATGGCAATGGAATCAATGGAATCAATGGAAATCCTAAGAGTTTATAATATGCATCTACCCTCTGTTAATCCAACATAGCTATTTTTCACATTTATAGTTGATTTACCCATTAATAATGGTGATTTTCCATAGTTACGTTAGTTTACCAGAGGGTATCTGGCTGAATTACAGTAATTCAGTCACCTGAAAATCGGTGAAACCTGAAGCCATTTGGGGATGACTCCCCCCATAATCATCCTTGCAGTGAAGTCACAGTGAGGTCATAAAAATTCATCCAAATATATGATTTACCATCTGGTTACCGTAGCTATGGAAAATGGCCCATAGAAATAGATGATTTATGATGATTTACCTATTAAAAATGGTGATCTCTCATAGCTACGTTGATAATCAATGGATCTGGGTAAATGAAATAATATTTCACTAACCTGAATGGTTCCGCCATTTGGGGATGATTCCCCGAATCTTAACCATGATTCCAGTGAGGGAGAACAGTGAGGTCCTTATAATTTACCCAAATATATATGATTTACTTTTCAAAAATAACGATTTCTATTACCATAGTTTGACTAGTAAAGGGAATACCCGTTGCTGCATCAAGTTGTTTTTTTGAGTCTGGAAACATGACTGCAAGTCTTAACTCCGAAATAAGTCATGTTTGGGATGACTCCCCATAGTCAACTTTTGGCTAGTACATAATTATATATAGCAAAAGATTGAAGCATGAAACTACCCTCTGGCAATCAAACATGGCTTGCTGGAAATTACCCCATTTAGTTCCACAAGTTTCCCATCAAAGCCTCCATTTATAAGCATTTGTTTGCAGCTACCCATGTTTGATGACACCGAATGGTAAATCAATAACTATCCAATAGTTATCCATAATTCTCCATCGATTATCCATGATTGTTGCTTAAATTCAACATGTTTTGAAACAATACTTTAATACAAACTTCATATCTTCCATTCATACGCCATGAATATCCCAAAAAATCCAATAAAATACCACCATGTGTATCCATTTGTCCCATTTTGTCGACACCAGAAGATACCTATCCAGTCGGTCCTGCAACTTCTGCAGGACGTTCTTTGACTCTTTCTGCGCGCCTGCAGCGCGCTGGCTCGATAGGACACCTCCATAGGACACCTCCATATGACAGCCAAATGATATTGGATGGACCACAAAATATTCCAATATATTCCAATATCTATGGTATAATCTATGAACATAATCTGATATACAGTATACAAAATAATAGGCATTTCATGATATGCCATACATTTCACCAGAATCTATGGAAAATCACATAATCATGAATCATCAACAAACATGTGCTTCTTGATTTTCTTCAGCCACGATTCCCAAGTGGTGTACTATAACCTGGTTTGGTGGTGCCTCTCCAAATAATTGATCAAGCGAATTTTATTCACCCCAACCATCTACCCAATCATTTGACCCCAAGCACCATAAAATCCATGAAAATCACATGTTGTTAAGTTGGCTATTATATATATATATATCCATATTATATCACGTGTCTGGCTCAAATCCCCATAAACTGGCTAAAGTCACTGAAATAATCCATAAACCGTCTCCAAAAAAAATATGATCACTGCTTGAAGTCACTGAAAATCCATCTACATCATTTAAAATCCTATGGAAAATCATGAAATCCAACACAAAATCATGATCCCCACTACAATCCCGGTAAACTAACATATGGAACATGGCCCATTTAGTTCGTTGATTTACCTCTTCAAACTGGTCATGTTCAATAGTTTTTGATATGTTTACCAGAGGGTAGCATCCCCAATTTCACCATAAATAGATATAAATAGGTGGTATAGACCATTCCCAAGTGGGTGGTTTATTCCTAGCCTCTGGTAAACTAACATAGCTATTGAAAATGGCCCATAGAAATAGTTGATTTACCTATCAAAGATGGTGACTTTCCATAGCTATGTTAGTTTACCAGAGGGTAAATGGTGTTTTTGTTGCTGGGGTGATACCCCCATCGCCAAAGATCCGGGCCTTCCACCATGACCTGCGTTCGCACCACGTCCAGCGGCGTGGTCACCGCGTTGCTCCACAGCGTCGCCAGAGCGCCGGCCGTGCCGGTGGGGAGGGATCCTGGTGGCCGGGGTCGTTGCCAAACATGCAGGATGGGGCCCAGTTCGTTAGCTAAGTTGGTTTATAACACAACAATAGTGTGTGAAACAACAACAGTCTATGATACACTATAATAAGTATAATATCAATAATGGTTGCCAAACATCCTGATTTCATTCCAATTCAACAGAGGTGTAGCAGCCTGCATGAAGCTGGTTCCAAGAATGACAGCTGTTCATCTGGTGCAGTGGGTTGCAATCGGAAGGATACTGATTTCAGGAAGAAAAATGATGGAACATGTATATTACATATATTACATATATATATAGGTGTTATAAGAACCATTTCGGCCACTGCTGGGGATGAAAATCTTGGGATTTTTCACACTTTTTTTCCGGCAAAAAAAAATGGGCAACTGGGAGATTTTCGCCAATGAATCGATGTGGATCTAAGCATCAAACTATCGGGGTCATGCTGAGGTACCGCTTATGAAAGGCTGACCGAGACATGACATTCTCACAGGTATCACGTAGAGTTTTGTGTGGTATACTATGATAAAACAAACATTCACAAAAAAAAAATCTATGATCACATAAGTTTGGCGATATTCAAAAGTGTGGTTTAAAACATCTGTATTCACCTACTACAACAAGGATTCTTTGAGCCTGCTAGGGTGGTGGATGCTGGAATATGTTGGATGCTTCTTGGTGGGTTGCATCCATCCCTTTCAAAGCCTTCATGGGGCTCAGCCCAAGCTCTAGTCCCAACAGCAGCTTGTGGAATCCCGTCCCCTTTATGTTTTAATCAGTAGAACAATCCGATAGATCCCAACAGGGGAGATGATATGCTACCAGTGGGCTGAAACAGTCTGTCAAAACGGGCAACTTTGCAGCTCGTCATATGTCATAGGAATATGATACCCATCAGGTGAGCCTCAGATATATCCACCATAAACCATAAACCATTGCTAACCTTAAATAGTTAAGCTACCATCTTAACCAACTAAACCTTTCCTTTGGCCCAACCTTGGTACCCAGCCATACCACTCACCACTTCAACATCCCCCGGAATCCCCTAGGGTCCTGTGCTTTTCAATGCCTCAAAGGCCAGAAACTTGGCGAGGTCAGCCGGGAGTTTGTACAGCACCTGAGAAGCGGCGCTGTTCGAAATGGGGCTATGGATGGCTATGGGTGAGTCGACTGGGGCTTTGAGAAAATATCCTGACGCCCATACCCCCTACCGCCATATTTTTGGGCTGTGAAAATCCTTAAAATCCTGAAAATCCATGGATCATATTTTGAGGTTTCCGAAGTCATGCAGGTACCGCCAGTTGTTCGTCCAGTCGTCATGAATGATCATGACTTAGTATAGGTTACCGCATGGCGACGACTGGGGATCCTCCATTTAAGAACCCCCCAACATAATGGCTGTGAATTGGGGGTATGGGTTCAAAATGACAATTTGCAAAGCTAGACCCTTGGCGTTTGCCAAACATCCAATGTGATGGGCCCGTTCTAAGTATCCAACTGAACATCACCAAGCTATTTTTGGGATCAATGCCAATAACCATCTATTGAATGATGATTGAACTCTCAATATACCCTCTGGTTATTTAACATAGCCATGGAAAATGGCCCATTTATAGATGGTTTACCTATTAAAAATGTTGATTTTCCATGGCTATGTTAGTCATAACCAGAGGGTATACGAATTCTACTTTAAAAGATCATCTCGCTAGGGTCGTCTGCCAGTCACAGGCTACGGCATGTTCATAATTGCCATAGGTAGGGGCCCTGCTTGCCACTCAACCAGGCAAAGATTCCCCACACTGTGGCATGTGTGACCATTAGTAAACCCTCCGCCCCTGGAAAAAAGTCTTTCTGGCCTGGACCGCAATAATCCATCAGATTGTTTGTTCATACAACATGTTGACCAAAATCACACGCACCCATGCTTCTAGGTAAATTATCATATTTCACTCATTGCTAAAACCATTTGACTATTTTGTGACAGTTACCCTTCACAAATCCCAGTCCTAACCATCATTCCAGTGATGTTTGAAACATCTTTTCCCTTCTGACTAATTGATGTTTGTCCTCTGGAATTTCCTATGATATTCCAATGATGTTCCTTTGATTCTCCAATTTTTATACCACCATTATCTATCTAGTTCGAAAAGACATCTGTTAGACACTATGTAATAGACTAGAACCTTCCTTTCACATGTCTCTTGGAACTAGATACCCTCTGGTAATTTAACATAGCTATTGAAAATGGCCAACCATCATGATTTTCCATAGTTATCTTGGTTTACCAGAGGGTTTTTCCCATGTCGACCAAAATCTATGGCCATGGTTTTCGTGGGCCCTTCCGGCCCGGCCCGGCCCTTCCGGCACGTGGCACATTCGCGCCATAGCCTCGATAAAGTCCCTGGAGGCCTTCCTGGTGCCAGGAACCAATTGGGGATATATTTCACCAGTGGAAAAAGGGGGTTCACCAGTGGTTTAACCATCAATATATATATATATATAATGGTTATAATGATGGTTTAACATGGTTATTTGATGGTTTAACATGATGGTTATTTGATGGTTTAACATGGGTATAATGATGGTATAATGATGAGTTATAACCATAAATAACCATCATTATACCCATCAAATACCATAATATAATAACCCACAAATACCATAAAACCATAACCATAACTGGTTGGTGGTATACCTACCGCTCTGAAAAATATGAAAGTCAATGGGGAGGATTACCCCATATATTATGGAAAAATAAAAGCCATGTTCCAAACCACCAACCAGCAAATGAGGGTTTAACCAACGAAATCCTAACCATGATTCCAGTGAGGTCACAGTGAGGTCACAGTGAGGTCACTACAATTAATCCAGATACATCATCATTATAATAGGTCACTATATATTTACCATCAAATGGGGGGTTTGCCATCAATTTATCTGCAGAAATATGTCAGTGAGGTCACTATAATTTGCCTGGATGAATGGTTCTTAATCATACAGATATTAACCATTAAATTCATTGAAACAGTTGGTATTCACCACTATCCATGCTATTAATAGAATCCATTAACCATTATTAATCCATTAAACAGTTCGTGTTCACCACTATTCGCCACTATGAATGGCCATTAACCATCCATGTTTCTTATAGAATAAACCATTCACGGATTATTGCTGATTGGACAATTCATGGATTAACCACATGAACCATTATCAACCATGATTTATTCACATCATTAACCATCCATTAACCATCCATTAACCCACGCCTTCTCGAAGGCCGAGGTCAATTTCTGCAGAGATCCGTCCCAGGCCAAGGCCTGGCGCCAGGAAAACGCGAAACCGGGAGGAGGGTCACCGTGGAAAACGCTGGGAGAACAACTGGGGTATTATCTTAGCAGCTTGCCGAAGATGGAAAGGCCGCAGCTTTTTCCAAACAGAAACACAGATTTTTGGTTTGAAACTTGTCTTATCCATGATAGATATGATCTGGTTGGTGGTTTTAACCATCTTGAAAAATATTAGTCAATGGGAAGGATTATCCCATATATTATGGAAAATAAAAAATGTTTGAAACCACCAACCAGGTGATATAGTGGTTATGTATAGATTACCAATGATTTTAATGTTGATTGATATCATGGATATGTAATAATATGATATAATGATGATTTTCCGTGGTTTTTTGTCATGGATATATGACGGATATATGATAGAATTTAATAATTCATAGAATGGATATAAAGAACACGGGCCTGAACACGGACGATATTTTCATGAATGTTCAGGGGTTAAAAAATGGGGTTCTTCAATGGGTTTTTTGGTGGTCACGGGGAGATAGTGGTGATCTCGATACCAATGGATTGCATGGAAATACCATCTGGTTATGACTAACATAGCCATGGAAAATCCCAACCATAAATGGAGGATAATGGAGGTTTAGTTCACTGGGAAAATCATCTATTTCTATGGGCAATTTTTTCCATGGTTATGTTAGTCATAACCAGAGGGTACATGTAAAAAAATGCTGGAAACCATGGCTTCTGAGGAGAACCCCCCTCCACCAAACATCACCAGAATTTGACCCTGAAAATAACATGTTTTCCTGGTGGAAACTCATCTTCCAACCCAGCTCATGGGAACGGGTCTATGTGAACTTCAGAGAGGCTAATGAAATATGGAGGTTAACTCAGTGGACCAACAAGAACCCGGGAGATCTGTCTGAAAACTATGGAAAATCATAGGAAAATGGTGGTTTTATGGGAAAATCATAGGAAAACCACAGGAAAATGGTGGTTTTACCCTCTGGTAAACGTACAAAAAACCATGGAAAATCACCATGCTATTAATGGGTAAATCCACGTTCTATCGACTGGGCCATGGCTTCAATAGCTTTTTGTATGTTTACCAGGCCGGGTACCTTCTTTCTATGGCCAGAACCTAGAACCAATGGATTCAGAGTCGTAAATCCCTGTCCCCGAGAAAGGCATAAACACCCCCAAGTCAATCCTGATTTAGTACTGGATCTGGATCTATTCGATCTATTCTGGCCCCAAATCAATGATGGCTTTGTCATGATCGGGGGATGGAATTCCAGCTGGTCATTTCCGGGCAACCTGCAACTGGCAAAGGCGAAAATCAGAACAAATATCATCACAAATATTATATATAAATATGATAATATATATATATATGTATAATTTGTGTATCATCATCTGGAATCATCTGGAATCATCTATATAACTAGGATCATAGCCTGCAACCCCAAATATGGCTTGTCTGAAAATAGTGTACCCCAAATCCACTGGATGATCATCATGTTCCCTATGGAAAAAGCCGTTTAGGTCAACAAACCCCATCAGACCCCATTAAACTCAATAAAAACTCCTTTAGTATAATATATAAATCCAAAAAAGGCATGGTTGTAACTAGTTGTAACCCTTGGTTTATCCTTCATGGAAATCTCAGGGCGCCTGAGAAAACACCAGGTTTTTTCGTGGGATGACCATCGAGGGATGACCTACGAGTTTTGACCCAGACCCAGATGTCTCACCTTAGATCGCACTGTATCCCCATGTTTGTCGGATCTAGACCTTCATATCCGTATATATATATATATATATGATTATATAATTATATATAATTATATATATATATTAAATATTTATATTAAGGTTATTTAATCCATTATGGATCTATAAAACCATAATATCTAGTCCATTATCGATATTATGGATATGGATGTACCTTCATATCTATGTTATTTGATATTACCATCTGGTTGTGACTAACAGTTCGCCATGGAAAGATCCACCCATTATTGATAGGTGAACCATCTATAAATGGGCCATGTTCCATGGCTATGTTAAACCAGAGGGTATCACATATTATCGATATGACACTGTCTTCATAGATGTTCCGACCAAAATCTTCAGTGTCTGCTGTAACATGTCATGCATCTTGACCACTCCACCCTCACTGCTGCAGCCATGGAACCTCTCCTTTCGCAACACTTGCCATGGCTTTCGTTTCAGCCACGTCAAAAGGTGTTTTGATCGCCTAGTGAAAGGAGCAGTAGGGGAATTCCTGGTGGCAACAAGACTCGGGGTTTAACAAGGCCCTAATCTAGGCCGGCTAGTTGTAGAATCACCCATTTAGTTTGATGATTGTCCTATATATATATATACATACAATTACATACATACATATATATATATGTTACCATTGAAAATTGGATTTCCCAGCCAGCCATGCCAAAGTACCAGAGGGTGTTTTGAGGGTTGATGGAGGATGATGGGAGTAGATCTCTTCAATGAGCAGTTTCAAGAAGTGCCGTTGGTTTATGATTCTAGGGGGTTGTATCACTACCCAATACATTGGGATTTGAATGGATTAGCAGAATCAATTATTGACACTGCTCAACTGCGGGTAAAGGCGGGTACAAGTAATGTCCAGGAAACTAACATTGGCAGAGAAATATAAAGAATTGTAAACATATCCACCATTGCCATGATACTCACACCCAAAACCATCCGAACGGTGGATGTGGGATAATACAGCAAACAGCTGTGTGCTTCAAGATTCAACTGATGACAGTTTTGAGGTTGAAGTGCAAAATGTCCTTCTACTTTTCTATCCTGCAATCCATTCATGACTGGTTTGGACGGTTTGACCTTTGAAATGGTGTGTTAACATGGCTCCTTTGCCTTTCATATGAGAATATACAATTGTATACTTGTGCAAATATTTGCATGCAAATTCAATAATCTACATAGTAAACTGTAGGTGCACCAGCAAATCAACAAAAAAAAAGGTTTGTTCTCCACGGGGCATACCCTTGTCGTGGCCAGATTCCTTGCTCGAAACTCCATGAAATGTTCAGTTCTGGCTTCCCATCTGACCACATTCTGCCAGATGGTTCACCAAATCTCCACACACGCCTTACCCTCTGGTAATTTAACATAGCTATGGAAAATCACAATTTTTAGTGGGAAAATCCACTATAAATCACCATTTTCAATAGCTATGTTAAATTACCAGAGGGTAACCCATTCGAAAACCGCTTCTTAACCATCATCCCACCACCGGTTTTCCCCCTTGGCCTTGGCGCACAAGACGCCGGCCAGCACGCCGCAGGACGTCTTCACCGGCTGCGGAAAGGTCTGCAAGACGCTCTGCGCGGCTTCTTTGGCCGCGAAGAAACTGGCGCTGCCTGCGCGAAGCGGGGGAGAATCATCCCATGGAGAGAGTAACTGGTAGAAATATGGAGAAATCTTGGGGAGGAGGATGATGATGATGATGATGATAATGATGATAATGAGGATGATGAGGATGATGATGATGATGATGATGATGATGATGCTGGTGATGATGATGATGATGATGATGATGAATATAATATATATATATATATCATATATAGTGTATATAATATATAACCAAACTAGTAATTTCCTAAGGTTCGCAACTGAGTTTTAGTTCACCTAGTTGTAGATATGATAACCAGTTGCGATTGGTGGCTTTTATCTGAGGTAGACCGGGACTGTTTTTTTTTTTGTAAGATGTTACTGCTGTATTGAACATATGGAGAAACACATGATATACCTCCTGGTAATCAAACATAGCACCTGAAAATCCATCATTTACAGCGGAATTTCCCAGCTATAAAACTCTATTGATCTTTTTTTCTTGTTGATGCTATGCTTGATGATACCAGAGGGTATAGTGACTCGAATGTGGATTCCATGGGCGAAACTCAGCCACAACTTCACCCCTATCGATTCGGGTCATCGATCGAACTTGGCTGGGAAGTCATCGATTCGTTTTAGATTGGATAAATGATATCTGGTTGGTGGTTTTTAACCATCCTGAAAAATATGAAAGTCAATGGGAAGGATTATCCCATATATTATGGAAAATAAAAAATGTTTGAAACCACCAACCAGATATGTGATAGATCATGATAGATATACAAGTATTACCATCTGGTTATGACTAACAGTTCGCCATGGAAAGATCCACCCATTTTTAAGTTCGGTAAAGATCGGTAAAGCATCTATTTCTATGGGCCATTTTCCATGGCTATGTTAAATAACCAGAGAGTATGATAAATGGAGAAACTCATTATCATAATTTGTCGCCACTAAACAGAAAAATCTACATACAAAAACCATTGATGAATTTCTGCTTAAATTTCCCCTGAAAAGATATGAACACGTTCCCTTTGGATTACCCGGTTCCCAAGGATATCCCCCAAGGAAGATCACCGAAAGGCCGGTGGTGAACCACGATCCAAGATGGCATATTTGGAGCTTTTCTAAAAGTGGGGGTACCCCCCTTGTTATCCAAAATCATGTGTATATGGAATGGAATGTATATGTTGATATATGTATATATATATATATATATGTTTATGTAAATATATTGTACATGAATGTACATGACATATGAGGTATGGATGTTTCTTAAGTCATGGGGGTAACCCCCCAGTTCCAAGTCATTGGAGCGTTTTAGGTTGAGAACCGCGGATTCACAAATCCTGACCACTTTTATCTGGGGGTTACCCCAGAAGTTTTCTCAATTACTATGAAAAATATGTGTTCCCCTATTGTATTCGCCATGTATATCCATATTCGCTGGTTAAATCGTATTAAATCCTATTCAACCACCATTCTTGGTTGATTAAATCCCTTGGAAGTTCCATGAAATCCCATTCAATCACCAATTGATCACCATTTTTCTTGGTGAAATCCCATTCAATCACCTACAATGTGGGGCCCCCAGTTATGTTTGTTGGTTTATAAACCCCATGAAAACTATAGTTACAAATATAATCAACCATAGTTATTGGAGTGAAAAATTCCCAACTGAACGCTATCATAAATAAGTTTCAAAACCGAAACCAGAGGGTAAAACCACCATTTTCCTATGGTTTTCCTTTGATTTTCCCATAGAACCAGCATTTTCCTATGATTTTCCTATGATTTTCCTATGATTTTCCTATGATTTTCCCATAAAACCTCCATTTCCCCATGGTTTTCCCATTGTATTTCTAGATGATTATCCCCATTCCTCGGTCACCGAGGTGGTCCGCCTGGCGTCCCTGAGACCAAGGTGGGAAGCAACCCGCGGTAGACGTCTTTAAAGAGATCGCGCCGATCCTTGGTCTGTTGGAAGGTTGGGAAGATGATAGAAATGGATGAAGATATATGATATATATATGTATATCATATATGTATATAAATTATTATATGATCACATTATATTGCATATTATACAGTAGATACAAATATTTATTTAAAATGGCTCATGGAGGACCATGGAAGACTAAATGCAAGGCTCCTGGGCAGAAAAAAACACCACGAATGGTTGAAGCCTCTGGTACAGTAATTGTTACATAGCTATGGTATAGATGGCCCATTTAGGTCGTTGGTTTACCTATGACAAATGGTAATTGTCCATAGTTATGTTCGTTTACCAGCGGGTATACGTAGCTATGGTATAGATGACCATGGTTGAATATGTCTGCGAATTCATCGAACATCATCAAACTAAATGGGCCAATGGGCCATCAAACGACCATAGCGCACTGTTATATTGCCAGAAGGTACATCCCCAACTATCATCTTGTTCGTATCTGTCCATTCTACCCATATCTGTTGATGAAATTCCCATGACATTCACATTGAAAGCAGCAAGCATTGTTGCTGCTTATATCAAGTCATATCCCAACCACCAAGTTTATCCACATTTAGTTCACTGAAATTCTAGTTATGTATAATATATATATACAGACATTTATATACATATAAATATATATATATATATATGTACATATTTACATATACATATATATATATGCGATTATATATATATATATCCAGTGAATATCCAGGTATATCCATGATATATCCATTTACTATCCAGTTATGTAGATTACATAATGTAATGAATACATATCAACATATATCCAGTTGATCTCCAGAAATTATGGGTTGAGAACCCCACTTCTGCAGTGGAATCAGTTTTACTCAAGATTCAACAATCTCCTCAAAGAGAACTTTTCAGCTGTAGAGTCTTTGACCAAACATCCAACATACAACCAAAAACAGGGGCAGTAATAAGTTGAGAACCAGGTGTATCCAAAAAAAAATAGATATACGATATACACTTAATCTCCGATATGTATGTATGTATGCATGTATGTAATGTAATGTAATGTAATGTGATGTGATGTGATGTGATGTAATGTAATGTAATGTAATGTAATGTAATGTAATGTAATGTATGTTATATTATATTATATTATATTATATTATATTATATTATATATATATTATATATATATTATATTATATTATATTATATTATATTATATTATATTATATTATATTATATATATATATTATATTATATTATATTATATTATATGTAATGTAATGTAATGTAATGTAATGTAATGTAGTGTAGTGTAATGTAATGTAATGTAATGTAATGTATGTATATATATATGTATTTATAATTACATGATATCCAGTGAATATCCAGCTATGACCACCAGATCGAGCATCGATGTCATCGATGCCCCTGGCCACTGCCTGTGCCTGCAAGCGCGTCTTCACCTCACCGGGATGCAGCAAAATGGGAGAAAATTCAGGGCAAACAGTGACGCGGGAACCCTTGGTTTTTTAGTGGTTTCTTGAGTGGCAAAAAGTGGTTAGTGTTGTGGTTACTGTTCTATTGGGTGTCATCTTATGAAATGACGTCAGTGGATTGCTTTAAGGGAAAAAACCATCAGAAATCATGGATTTTACTACAACAGCTACCAATTTGCGGTCAGATAACCACCATTTTGACATCTAAGAATTGAGAGGTTAACATTGTGAGCCATTATTTCAACATCATCTTTTGGGTGTTTTTTGTTTACACTTTACACTATTTCGACTCTCAGCTTTTCTGGGGGTGAATCACGATAATTCTCAAGCAACAGATCCGGAATTTGATGTCCAATACTGCCAAAATGTGAACATCATCTCCAGACCCGAAATAATCCGCATTCATTTTTTGCAGCCTGATTGATTGGAATCATCACAATTTGTGCATTGGGAAGAGGAGGCAATATCAAAAAAATGCACAGTCAGTTCTTTCCCTTGAAAAACACCCTGTTTCTCAGGTCCTTTTCTCCACTTTGCTAACGATTTCGTCCCCGTGGGTTGCTTCGGTTCTCTCGTTTTTTTGGGACAACAACCTGCAAACCGATCCATTGGCCGTACCTACCAGTTTTGGCCAAGGCAACGGCTAAATTTCAAGGAACATCTCCACAAAATATCGCCTAAAAAATGAATAAAAATGGTACAGCACCTCCATTTTGTCCTGAAATTCCCACTGAAAATTGGCTGTGGCACCAATTTTCAGACGGATAACCCCTATGAATACTTCGCTTACCAACCCCAATGTTCCCTAGTGATCAAGCCCGCCAAAAAAAACACATTCTGCCTATATGAAACCTCCATATTATTGTAGACCCATTTTCTAGAGATATGTTGCTTCATCACTGAAAACCACGAAAAAGAAGCAAACCCATACTATATATAGTATATGCCATTGTTTCACATGGTTGTGTGTCCAAGTGTACAACCCAAAAATTCGACCGAACAAAACTCATGATATACATTGATATTCATATACTATGGTATGTACCATTGATATTCATATACTATGGTATACCATATGTGTTCTCCATTGATATACCCTCTGGTAATTTAACATAGCTATGGAAAATCACCATGCTATTAATGGGAAAATCCACTATAAACTGCCATTTTCAATAGTTATTTTGACATAACCAGAGCGATGAACAATGGGTAATCACCATTTTTAATGGGTAATCACCATTTTTTCACTGTGAACTTACCAAACCGTTCTTCCCCGTGGTTGGTTTAACCCGTCCCGGCCGTGTCAAAGGGATGAAGAATCAGCTGCTTCACCACATTTTGGGAGATGCCTTGGATGGCACCACCTGAGCTGTGAGCCATGAATTGGACAGTGAAAAAATATCTGGGTAAATTATATATAATGGTTAGTATATGTATATATATATAGTATGGTTAATATATATATATATACTAACTGTTAGTATATTGCATCATAGTATGTTACTATATTATATCTATGGTTAGTAACATTATGGGTAATATAGTAACATTATGGGTAATATGGGTAAATATGATGTTTATTTGGGTAATATACTAACATTATGGGTTATATCTATGGTTAGTATATTACATCATAGTATGTATATATATAGTATCTGGGTGAAGATATCATCATGGTTAGTATAATATATATATATAACATGTATAACCATGGTATCTGGGAAAATTATCATACTTCACTAACCTACATATATCATATATTATCATATAGTTACCACTTACATTCACCATCAGTCCAATGACGTCGCGACCTGGGTCGTTATACTTTAACACAGATACATGGATGAGGCTGGATGCCTTTTATTGCCTTTGATTGTGTCACTGGTATTTGCTTTCTGGTTGCCTTGCGGCCTTTGTATCCATGCGCATGCAATTTTCCAGTTCAGTGTATTTGCTGGACAAGGTCCCCGAAAAGCTCACCTGCAACACTCAATGTTGCAGCACATATCAGTAAAAGTCCAATGCATTTATGACTTACAAGAAAAACATCAACAGGAGTCTGACTCCACAAACCCAATGATCTGTTTCCCATAAAAAATGCATTTGCTCCGAGCACCCCAACGTCCCCAATGTTGCTAGGATCTTCAAAAAATGTTGCTTGGTTTCACGTGGCGCGTTGAACTCATGAGCAAGTAGCCCAAAACAAAGGCTAAAAATCAACTATTACCAGTCCACATGTCGGTTCTCACTTTTGTTGGATGAAATCCCGCAATTCCCAAGAATCCATGGATGATTTTCCATGGATTTTCCTATTTCTGTTGATGAACACCAAATTTCTACAGGATGGGGCCCCCCAGTTATAAGTTGGTTGATAAACCCCATTAACCATAGTTATCTATAATTAGATCTACCAAATCTCTAGTGGTTAGATCTGCTTAAATCTTCATTTCTGATGGTGATCTCTCTCCTCAAAACTGCCGGCCAGGCCCCCGACTGAAGGCAGCGGCAAAGGGCGGAAGAACGTCGGCGCCAGCGCCTTCAAAAGGGCAAGCCATGGGGACTGGTGGTCCTATCCCACAGATATTTCTGAATATATGTATGTATATATATATGTGGGGGGGACCTTTGGGGTATATTTCGTCCGTTCCGTGAGAACTATCATATGTACAATTTACATTCGGTTTATTTACAGGCATGTGCATGACAGCGCCCTGGGAATGTATTAACCATTGCAGATGTACTCGAGGAGGTAAAATACATTGTAAATAGACCTGGTTTCTACTACTAAGTGTTGATTTTGCTGCTGCTAAATTTATGTCCTGAAATCAAGTAAGATGATTAATAATCGAAGTGCTCATAATCTTTTTTCTGCATCTACCTGCCACAGAGAAGTGACGACTAAGTTACCCTACATACTGATTCTCTTGTCGCAGCTTCTGTAACTGCTGTTTCTTCTTGTTCTGTTTGTTTCATGTTTGTTCTGTCCGTTTTCCCCACCTGTCAGGTGCGGGTTGTTAGATTTTATGTTAGCCAGCCCGCCTTCCTCCTTCCTCCTCCTTCCTCCTCCTTCCTCCTCCGTCGTCCGCCGGACCCCAACAGCAACCTCCGGATCAGAGCGTTCCCCGCCGGACCTCCACCGCAAGCTCCGGATTAGAGCGTTCCCACCTGGACCTCAACCACGAAGAAACTCCGAAGATATAATGCCAGATAAAATGCCAGAAAGAATTTCGGAAGATATTCCAGATACATATGCCAGAAAGGATGTCAGATAGAATGCCAGATAAAGTGCCAGAAGAGATGCCGGAAAGAATGTCGGAATAGATGCCAAATACATTATCAGAAAGAATGCCAGAAATGAAAAGAATGTCAGAATAGATGCCAGAGAGGATGCCAAATAGGACGTCAGAATAGATGCTAAATAGAATGCCAAAAGAATGTCAGAAAGAATGCCAGAATAGAATGTCAGAAAATATATGCCATATATACTATATATATTTATAGATGAGATATTACTGAGATATCATTAATTATGACAAAACAATGTCATGCTGGGGATCCCTCGAAGTAAAGTAATTAATTGTTTTCCCTTGTTTGGTTCCCTCTTCTTATTCCTCTTCCTCGTTCTTGTCCTGTGTTTTCTTCCATGTTCCTCTTCCTTGTTCATTTGTCATATTCCTTCCTCTTGATAATTTCTGTTCCTCTTTTTACTAACGTTCCTTGTTCTCTTCCTGCTCTTCTTCCTTGTCCTTTTCATGTTTGACTTTGTTCTTTCTCTGCCTCTTCCATGTCCTCTTTTTTTGAGAGCGGGGGACTGGGGGAGTGCGTTTTTTTGTTAGTTTTACAGCAAGTTGTTGGTGCTAATTGTTCATAAACATCAGCATGCCTAATGTCTCTGCCAAAATGTTCATCCAAATGAAGACGCCACCAACCAAAAAAACAGTAAAAGCATGTAAACACTACAATGGCCGATGGGAGGGAGACAATGTGAGAGACTGCCACACCCTAGTAAGATCTAGCAAGCTAAACTATTTTGAAACAGTTGCAAATGCAACCCTTTAATCACCCTTGCAAATTATGAGGCATTCATGTAAAAATATAGTGCTACTTTGGCAGAAGCGATGTCTTCGTTTCACACTATATCTTTCATTCATAAGCTGCATTTTTCGTCCAAGGCAATGCAATACTTCGTTCAAGAAGTAGTATCCCTACGAAATATAGAGGTTTCCCAAAACATGCATTGTTCGTTTCTGTAGAAGTGCAGTCTTCCAAAACATTGTAGTATTAAGTTAAGCATTCAGTATTGCTGTCAAAAGGAGCAATGGTCGATGCACATTGCAGCAACCCTTGGTCGAACTCGATTACTTTTGAAGGAACATACTGCTTCCAGGTTGCAGCCTGCCCTGAAGACAAGACATATATTCCCTTAAATAAATAAACGATATTCTTGAAAGAAAACTGTAATGTGTGGAAAGATGCAGTACATCCTTCAATGGTAAGCCTCATTTTCATTTTTCTGCATGATATGTGCTTTTAAAGGAAAAACTTCACTTCTTTATATGAAATAATTAATTGCTTTGAAGACAAGATAATCCCTGAAACAAAAAACAATATTCTTGCAGAAATACAATATGTGAACAAATGCAATATGTGCTCAATGAAGTTAAGCCTCGCTCCCATTTTTCTGCATGACATTGGTTTGTAATGTGTTTTTTTTAAATAATGGTGCTTGTATTTTTCGGTTGTTTCACTCATATGAAAGGCCATATTTCATACGTTGTAGTCATTACCTGTCTCTTTCTAAACATATTATAGGTACACTTCTACTTCATAGTAACGTTTTTCTTCATATTATTGCCTGTTTTTCAATCAAATGGTTCACAGCCTTATCAAGGCAACTTTTTAGCATACCCGCACCAACACTTTCTTAAGGAATACAATGATTATTAAGAATAGGTACTCAAAAGATTCAATTCTGAAATGCTGCTGTCCTTCTTCCATAGATTCCTTTACCTCTTTAAGAGAACTTTGATAAGCTGTCGCTTTGAACATGACTTGAGATTCCTTTCAAAGAAAAACTACACTACACTCCCTTTTTAAGAGGACTGTGCAAAATGATGCCGCTTTATGCACGTAATGATGTGACTTTATGCAAGACATGTCATATTCTTTGAACACATATTGCTGCACAAGGCATGTATTGAAGGATTTTGCTTTGAAAAAAACATGCTGAAATTTGTTTGCTGATTCTATTTTCAAGTCTTGGCTGTGCTGTATTTCCTCCCATGGTTTCAAGTAACTTTCTGGGAAGGTGTCCAAACCATGAGAAAATCAGCAAACAATGCGCACCTGGATGATGTCCATGAGGTGCGGCTGAGCAGACATGGACAATGGCTCCTGTCCTTTGGTAATATTAGTAAAAACGTCCATAAAACCAAACAAAAACTAAACCAAAAAACAACCCTGTGACCCTATGTCCAAACCACTCATGGACCTCCATTGCCTTCTTTTGTTTTGTCTTTTGACAAGTTGGGGCAGAAGTTGCAAAAGGCCTGGAGAGAACAAAACACACACACACAAAGAAAAACTCAAGACTCAAAACACAAAAAACACTCAACGGGAGTCCATAAGTGGCTGGGACATATTTTTTTTTTGGTGTGTGTGTTTAATATAGGATAAGGTTTCACAAGTTAATTCATGTGTGATTGGTGATTAGAATTAAATATTTTGAGGTTTTGAAACTAAGTCATGTATGCAGAAAGTAGCACTCCCACAGTCCCCTGTTCTGTTTTTGTTTGCCGGTCCATTTCCGAGACTGATGTGGCACTCCAACCGTGCCAAAAAGAACTCCTTCATGTCATGATTCATGTCCGATTCAAGCTGAACAAAGTTTATACAATGTCTATAAAACCGCTTCCTTCCTGACCTCCTTCTTGTTCTTCCGCCTTTTCACTTTTTGTCCGCTCCTTTTCCTTCGTCCTTTCGCTCTTCCTTTTCATGTTCATCATTTTTTTCTTCTACTCCCTTTGCCTTTGTCCCCTTCATTTCACAATGTTCCTCTTTTTGTGGCTCTTCCGTGCCTCTTGGACTTTTGCCTTTCCACCTTTTTCGAAGACTTACAAGACCTCCAGCAGTCCCAAAAGAGATTTTCAATGATTTTCATGTACGATACACACTATACATAGTATCAACTCGACCTCGTCCCTGTCCAAAATTGAAAAGGCGGAACAATCCCGGGCCCCTTCATGTAGGATACAGGATACGTGCCTTATACTTGAGAGAACAGGATACGTGCCAGCTTGCACCTTCGTCCTATGTTGTTGTGTGTTTTTCACCTTGCACTTGTTTCCGTGTTCATCTTCCGTCTCTTCTTTGTTATTCTATCCCTTGTTCTTTCTTCCTCTTTGTTTCATGTTTTTTCTCTTCCCTGTCTTACTCTACTTCCTTGTCGCCTCTCTGCCCTTCCTTGGCCAAGGTGAACGGGCAATGGCACGGCGGCAAAATGGGTACTCCCGCGTGTGATGCAGACTATACACATTATATAACCTCTCTTCCTCTGTCTCCTCATTTCAACCGTTGCAACTTCCTTTTAAATTTTGTTATCTCTTTTCTTTTTCCTTTTGCACTTCTTGTTCCAATTGCCTCCTACTTGTTCTTTTCCGCTGTTCTATTCCCTTTCCTTGTCCTCCTCTCTCTTCCTCTTTGTCCTCGCCCTCTTCATTTTCCTTGCTCATGCTCCTATTCTTTCGAATCTGTTCTTGGTCCTCGTCTTCACCAGAAGGAATGAGATTACAAAGCGGAAACATGAAGATGAAAATGGAACACACACACAATGTGGAACAGGAAAATGAACATTGGACATGCCAAGGATAAGTAAAATACAAAGGAACATGACAAGTAAATTATTGTAAGAATTGTGCAGTGCATGCGGCATATTTGTCAGACCGTTCCGCGGAAAATGAATAAAAGGACAAGGGCAAGAAAGGAAAGGAAGTAAGAAGTGAAAATGAAAAGGCAAAAGGAATAGGGAAGAGGAATTGAATTCAGAACTGGGAAGAGGGAGTGGAGGAGGGCAAAAAAAAGAAGTGAACTTAATATTACTAAGGCTAAGGCCATTGAGCTGATTTCGGTTTACGGATGAACTTTTTGCATATAGCAAAAACCTATTTAGCGATATTCTTATAGATGTGTTTTATTTGTATAAAAATCACCTCGAAAAAAACTAGAACTCCGGAAACCATCGCCCCTCAAGGCATTTCAAAAAACACACATGGGCAACATTCTTCCCACCAAAATTCGACTTAAATGATGACCCAAACATGGGAAGAAGAACGCTAAGTTGGCGATACTCAAGGGTTTGGGTTGGAAACATATAGGGCCTGAACGGAAACCTCCGAGAAAAACAACATTTGTCATTTGGAGTTACGACTACAGGTTTGTGCGAGGTAAAATGGTGTATGTAAGAATCGGGTTGTTTTGAACTATTTACAAACAACAATAAACAGCATTTGTTACTATTTTCAACCTGATG